TAGAATTGTAAACAATATAAAAGTTATTAAGAACATAATGTAATTGAGTCGAAGTCCAGTATTTAATAGGTACGCATTAAGCAAATGAACATAAGCCAAAAATATTTTGGGACTGTTTTTTACTATTTTTACTAATCTGTTTATACTGTAAAGTATTTTGTTTAAAATAAAACAATCATAATTGTGTCCTATGCCTTAGACGGACTTCGATCTTTTAGTTAACAATTATAATATTAATATCATTTTCCATTTTTTCTTTGTTCTACAAGACTTAACTTTTCAATTTGAAATATTTTTAAAGAGAAACAAGTCTTCAGTTTCTCATATTGCAAGAAAATGAATAAAAGGTTGTGAAAACAGAGGCACAAGCTTCAAAATGAGTTGTAAAATTCTTGTGTGCGAAATTATAACAGTTTAAATACTAACAATATTTTAAATACTAACAATTCGCGGAGCCTGCACATGAAATGAACTTTATTGAAATATCAACATTATTGATTACATTATCAACAGAGATGGATTTCAAAAAATCAAACTCGGTATATAAATGCACACGTCACGCGAAAGACCATTAACTTTTCCAACTGGACAAACATTTAACTAAACAATTGTTTTAACCTCCACTGTCAAAAAAATAATATCGTTCCATATTGATAATGTAAAAAAGAACATTAATTTAGATAAATGAAGTTCTAACAGCACTTTCATTTTTGCATTTCTAATTTATAGCTGCTTTTAACAGAAATTGCAAAAATGGAAAGCAAATTTTCATGAACAATAGTATGAACGTAACGATCGGAATACAAATGGCAGAATACGCTTGTTATATAAAAGTTCAGTTTACTCTTAATGTTTGATCGAGAATTATGTCCTGCTGCAGAAGAACCGAGAAATTTGAACAATTTCCTTGCGTCGGTTGTTGTGGCTAGTATAATGTTCTTAAATAATGTTCTTAATTTTTTCTTTTCTTCCTAGTGTGTTAGTGTAATGTGAAATGAAAGACAGAAAAATCATTTTTAGTAGACATGCGATGCTATAAGTAACGATCCGACCTCGGAATGTTAATAATTCAAAGTTCATTAATAATTGGTTATTTATGTAGTGAACAACTGTGATACTGAAGATAGAAGATGTGTGATATCAAATCCCCAAACTCATTACTGCTTTTGTCAAATTTGCGGAGGATGCTATGCTTACGATGATGGCAACAATTGTCACTCCAATGTTAATACTACCATCAAGAAGACATATACAAACCTATGTCAGTGTGCCGAAGAAATAATGTGGAATAGCGGTGTACCACCTAAACCAGACTGCAGATGGTTTACAAACTTTTCTGAATTACGCCGACAGTGGAGTAATCATGCTCGCCAACAAAATTGCAAATGTTGTAAGTGTAGGCAAAGGTAAGGAAAAGTAAGATCTTACGTTTGCAGAAGTCAAACGGACTTCATCTGTGAGGAAGTACTTTTGCACCAAAGAAAATCGACTTTAATTCGTGTAAAATTTAGATCTGTTCCATTTACATTAGGTAAAGCAACTCTAGCCGGAGAATTTTTTATTGAAAAAATAAGAAAAAAATTGCATTTCTATCAAGCTCGTGACAATGAATAACAACATGAAAATTATTTATTGGAACAATATAAAAAATGTCATTGAGGTATGCTTATAGTTTATCTGTCTTCCAACTTGCAGTGACAAATTTTTGATACATTAAAAATAAAAAAATATGCTACGTGGGGAAATGTAAGAAAGTATATATATTACATTTTTAGAAAAAAATATAGTTGAATCGTTTAATAAGTGGCCATAGTATATTTTTTATGAAAAGATTATTCTTTCCAGATGATTTTTTAGAAAGAAGTGGATTTCGTAGTTTACCTACCACCCTTCAAAATTCTAATGAAAATTCAGCAGCTGGATTTAAAATCGTAACACATTGTAGACAAAAGGAATTAATATACAAAATGATCGATTCGTAAAAGGAATGTTCCAAGAATTTCTATATCGTAACAAATTTTACTCTTTTTAGTATACATTTAAAATAAACGTAACTTACATTTATTTCACTTTATAATTTATTAAGATCGATATTGTTGTTATAAACTGACATTTAATTTATCTTATAATAACAATAACAACTATATAGAGTTACGTTGAAATCGACGATAGAATTGGTCGACAGGAAATCAGAGACTGGTATCAATTAATATCAAACAGGTTTTTTCAATAATCGTAATTTCATCATTAGAAGGTGTTGAAATCAAAAAGTAATGATCAATGATCATGAATAGAATCGTTCCCTTCGACAAACTTCTGTGTTAGATTGAGATTGGAGTATTATCTCGAATTTTTTTACATGAACCTAGTCACAATCAGTTGAGATTTGAGAGTTGAGTTGAATAATCAATTTTTTTCTGAATGCAAAAACTCTTTCAGATATTTCCCCCACCTCGTCAAATAAACCTCCGTAATTTGTTTTTCTTCTGAAGGATGATTAGTCTTAAGCGATTTAAGTTTCAGACTTGTATTTATTACATGAGTAGTTATAATCGTAATTATATCGTGTTTGGTGTTATTATATTTTAATCAGCAAAATAGGACGAATACGATGGTAAAAGTTTCATTGAGGAAAAACCAGAAATAAGGAATATTCATTTTTGAAATTGAAAAGGCTGGGTTCACATACGGGCTCCTCAAACGCCTCTAACCTCAGTCCCCCATTATTTTTACCACGCTAAGATACATATTTAGTAACTTCTACATAGGCGCCATTCAATGTGTGCCAGCTGCGTCTGTATACATTGCTTTCAATGTGTAGCATTAAAACATTTTTGTGAATATATTGTAAACTACTAATTTCCCGAATATCATTTTATATTTGGAATCTTCTCCCACTCTTCTATACATTTCCCAAATTTCGTTTCGATCGGCGTTAGGTCTCCTCTGGGAGTACAACCAATTTAAAGGGAGAAGGGGAGAGCTTGTATTTAATATTCATTCTATCCGTGGATAAATTTTCAACATTATATTTTCAAATCTGCTACTACGTAAAATTATTACTGGTCTAATTATTTTTTTTTTATTACAGTGAGCAACTCTGACGACTTTCATATTCAACAATATTAAATATCTCGGAAATCTCAAGTTCTCTATTATTATTTTCTATAGAGAAGATATCTTTTCCACTAGTTCACCCGTTACATAGGTTGCTCGTTGGCCGCTTCACCAGGTAGTAGACAAGAGAGGGCCTACGCTAACATGTAGAGATAGGTAAAAAGTAATCTGATCAATGATTACCGATTATAACTCGTTAGGTGTTGAAACTAATTTATAATAATTAGGCAAAAAGTTAGCTCGTTAATAATTACCGATTACAACTCGATAGTTGTTATAAATTACTATAAATTAGATATAATAACTAACGAGTAATCATTGATCAGATTATATATGTACTATTTGCTCAAATTTGAAATTTCCTTTAATACAGAATTAAATTACTATTTCAAAGGAAGCATATATGTAACACAGTTGAGAGAAACAATAGTTGCAAGTTGCAAATATTGGTATTTCTTACAATAGTTGAAATATTTTCAACCAGATTTGATTGCACATAGGGCACCGTTATGGGCAAATGCCAGGGGACCTGGCCTCGCCCAGGCAAAGATCCTACTTACGCCAATGAATTTCCCATGCGCGTCCGACGCATGCGTAGGACGTATGCGTTCGTCGCTTGCAGCAAAGCAGCTGACGCAATCGTTGGCGTCTGGCTAGACTATTGCTGGAACAGGCGATCGCAAAACGCGTGCGTCCGACGCGCACGAAATAGTTCAAAAAGTCGCTTATAGGAAAACAGAACCATTATCGACTATTGCGTGCTTGTCGAACAAACGCTGTGCTACTTATTATACATTATTTTAATAATTAAATAAACAGTAATGGCTTCAAAATTCCAGTTTACATATGCGGAGGAAGAAAATTTAGTAGACCAGGTCGGAAAATATCCTGTTTTGTATGATCGCTTTACTAGAGATTTTAACAATAAAATAGTGAAAGAAGATGTATGGATTGAGATATCGAACAGAGTGGGAAGAACACGTAAGTACTGCTCGATTATATTTATGTTAACATTGTATTGAAATTTGTAAAAATACAAAAAATAAGTTTGGTTCTTTTAACGTTTACATTATTACATCTCTCTTTTTAATACAAAACGGTAATTGTAATTTATATAGAAGAAATCATACCTCACCGATTTTATTGAATTTTGAATACGTTATCAAGAGCACGATTCTAAACAACTTTTTTCCTTTCGATGCTACCGTCGCTCGTCCTTAATTTCCAAAATATACATCTAATCTTGCGAACATACATTTGTGTACCTGCGCGTCTGTGGCGACGACCAGTGTGCCAACACTGCCAACACTGCCAACATGGGACCACTGGTTATATCCCTCTCCACGCGACTGCCGGGAAACCGTTCATATAACGGGTGAACTCGTCAAAAATGTACTCTCCGTTTTACGAAAATGTGGCTCAGATTTCGGCCCACTTTTAAGCAGAATTGTGCAGAATTACAATTGAATTACTCGAGGAATTATAAATGCAAAGCAATTCAATTATGTTATGGTTCGATCATATTTTGTAATCCGTAATTGCAATTCGAGTACAATTACAAAGTACTAAGTAATTAAATTACATACGAATTACTATGCAATTGAATGAAAATTACGAGTTACGATGTAATCGAATTGAAATTACGAATTACGATATCATTGAATTGAAATTACGAATTACGATAATTGAATTAAAATTACGAATTAAAAAATAATAAATGAATAGGTAATAATAGAGAAGAAAATACACAAAAGAAAGAAACAAGTGAAGTTGATCTTTGATGATTTAATTTAGAGCAGAGAAATAAGAATATGATTTACAAAAGATTTAATTTTTAGTGAGAAACCTGTAATATCGGCCACGAAAAAAATACCGTATTCATTAAGATATTGTCCACAGTGTCCATGTGGTAACCAAGTTTGTCGTTTCCGGCAATAACGAACTCGAATTATGAAATATTCTGTACTCTTTACTTTACTGACATAAAGTTTCGAAAGCACTTTCCATCACCGTTCTTATTTTCTCTACATAATCGGAAATTGTAGATACACATATGCCTTAACCGTTGATTTTGGTATAGTTTTATAACATAATTTTTGAGTCTAAAGACTTCGACAATTACGTGTGGTATTATTGTATCTGACCTAGGATGTGATTTTCCAAAAGAAAAAGGGAATTCTACCCTATGTCGGAACGTAGGATAGATATTCCAGTTTCCATGCTTTTTACACGTTAATAGGTAAATATAATAAAAAGATATAGATCATTAATTTGTATATAAAATTTTTCTTTTTCTATACCTTCTTAATCCGAGGCCACGGAAATTGGTACAGGCACGGAAACTGGGACATCTACCCTACATGACTTCGCGTACGTGTCTCTTTAAAAAGTCTGTACACTACTTCTTTGCCACATGATTCAACATTAATAATAATACAGTACAAATAAGAATTCTTATAGTTAAAACACCATGAAATATTACTTTGTGAACACACTATACACAAACCTGCTTTCCGTCCGGTCTTCCTATATTGGGAAAATTCCATTTTCTCATAAAGTCACTTGCAATGCTTTCAGAGTCTGAAATGTTAGCTTCAGGTAATAATATCGGGGCTAATTTGTCACATGATACGCGAACTACGTGTTTCATAATAACTTACGCATGTATATGATATTCTAAAAACAAACGATAAAGATGTAAATGTTTCTCCTTGTGGCAATAAAGCTAGTTAAAAATACATTATCTATTTCTTTTAGCTGCTGATTGTAAAAGGAGATGGAGAAATATTCGGGACACATACTTGAAATTAAAGCGGGGAAGAAAATATGGGACAGGATCGTTGGCACAGCCAAGATCGAAATGGCCATTATTAAAGCATTTGAGTTTTTTAAATAATGTGTGGTTCAGAAGAAGGTGTGTATCTTTTATTAGAGACCAAACATGTAACAGTTATATGAAAAATTTCTGTGAAAAATATCGGTAACATTATTCAAGTTGAAACAAAAAAAAACACAGGATTAAAGGATTTCAATTTTTAGTTACAAATAACAATTGTAATTAACTAAAAATTTTGTTCATCGCCAATAATCATTATCGATGGTGGAAATTCTATTTCGGTCACCGTTAAGAATTATGAACGTGGAAAATTTATTTCAATTCATAAGTGCCAACGATAAAACAAACTGCAGTTTATAATACGGTACCGAATTGTTGTACACTCGCCCAAATCTATTTTCACTATTCACACCAAAGGTGGGTTTTTATTGTTTAAAAAGAAATCGAGCGAGCAGTGAGAAGAAACAACAATATTATGTTAGCACATAATAAACACTTTGGCGTAAAAATTTGGTTAGTGTTCTACGGTTACAACGAATGCACCCTCCTCTTCACGATACTGAATTTTACTAACACAAACAAACTTTCTTAAATTGGCAATGAATTTGCAAAAACGCAAAAATTAAAAATGTGTCTTGTACAATACAGTTTGCACATATTATATCCATATGACATTTTTCACGTGTTTTGAGACACTTTGTATAATATCTGATCAAAATTCTCTTATCTATGACTACGAACGAATCCTCGAAACAAAATCTCCCTCTCCGTTAAATTTTACAAGAAACCGAAATTAATTTTCCTCGTTAATAATTGTTATAAGCAATCGAAATAAATTTTCCTCGTCGACTATTCTTATAAGCTAGCGAAATATATTTTCTTCGTTGATAATTGTTACAAACAACCGAAATAGAGTTTATATCAACGATAACTCTCATGAATAACACAAACAAACTTTCCTTATTTATAATGATTATGGACGATTAGTGATTATATAATATGATTATATGATATAATGATTATAATGATTATTATTATGATTATAATAATTATAATGATTATTATTATGATTATAATAATTATAATGATATAAATATCATTTTTGTTATGTATAACTATGTATCAAAATAATAATTATGTAACGACTTTTTTCGTATTAACTATAATTGTTATGGCCGTTGTATTTTTTATAGACGATACAAGTTCCGCAGTACAATATATTTTACTAATTTTTTTTATAGCGCCTATAATAATAGGATGCCGCTTCCTGCAGAACTGAAAGAAATAGTTTGGCTTCCAGAAACAACCATAAGTACATCGTCCACAGAGACATCTGCGGATACATTAACAGAGATGGCCATGGACACATCAGTTAATCAAACACCACCTATTCATATGGGGTACCTTCATTCGTCGTCTGATCATAAAGGAAACTTGGACGTCGGAAATAATCCAGGAACAGAACATACACAGGATCATGACAAAATGTTGGAAATATTTCGAGGGAGGTCTGTCGATGGAGAGAAAAGTATTGAAGCCCTAAAGAAGTCACACGAAGACAATGATCCGACTTTAACATTTTTCAAAAGTATGGCCATGGTGGTGAGAACATTTTCTCCCAACTTAATTGTAGAAGCTAAACGTGAGGTTTTTAACATCATTCACGAATTAGAATTAAGGTCTATTAGAGAAAATGCGAATTACCAATTCGATCCTATCAATACGTTAACAAAGTTGTAAATAATTATAAGTCTTAAGAAATAAAAGATATTTTTTCATACATTAGCTTACCCTTATGTTTGGATTTATTTTTTCAGCGCTACAATCGAATTTTTTGTTCTCCTGTTTGGTGTTTTTTTTTTTAATTATCCCCAGCAAGATTTGAAACAAAATCTTGTTTTTATTCAGTTTGAAAAACTGTCTATACACATATGTCTGATCATCCTATAGCAAATGCTTTCTAGGTATGTAATTAGAATGTTGCAATTCTATGTTCCGATTTTTGTATATATGTTTTGTTGATTTCCTCGTGTTTTGAATTTTAAAAAAATGTCTTCTTTCATGTTTTCTTCCAATAATAACATGAGTTATAGTTTCGGTTCAGTTTAAATAATTATCACAGATTTTCCGAGAATGTTCGAGATCATGAAAACCCGTACATTAAAAAAATATAACGTAAACAGGCTGTACGCTATTTCTATTTTTTAATACATTATTTAATATTATTTTCATTTTTATATGCCTGAAGAAATTATTCGGTTTTTGAACTGGACACACTACTATGGCCTTTGTGCTGGATAGAATAATAGTGTTCAATGGTGCAGGGTCATGGTTGTCGTACTGTACAATCTGCGACACTCTATCGATCACACGTTTAACTAGTAAGAGATATGTGATAGCTATGAATTCCAAGACAGCACAAGTCCACGTTATAACACTTTAATGTGACTTATTCGTAGATACAGCCATTTATTTAAATATTCTGACACCTTTTAAAACGGAATAACTTTTTAAAAATTGGACCAAACGACTTGAAATTTTTAGATGTTAGAGGGATTAGCTTACTAGGCAATGTCTAATCAAAGTTTTACAAAAATTGTGTTTGATTGAAATAACGAAAATAAGATAAAATCTACGATTTTCACGATTTTTAGTTATTTATATAGCTCGTAATAATCTTAGCTGATTACATAAATTACAGAGACTTACAAAACACATTATTTAAGCTTCCCTTTTAGGATCTGATAAAAAAGTTAAAGAACTATCATTATTTTTGTCATTTCGAACAGTTATAATAATTTGTTATGATTGTTACATTGAAAACTACAATAATAATAATTACAATCATGTTTGAAAAAATTTGTTTGGTCATTATCTAAATAGTAAACTAATTACTCCAGCACCTAAAATTAAGTCAGGTCATTTAGACTAATTTTTAAAACGTTATTCCATTTTGTAAGATGACCTAATATTTTAGCGAACGACTGTATAATTGTGTTCTGCTTACTGAGATTTCACTAATACAATTTGAAGCAATGCGAATATTTTATTCTTGACATAATGTACTTTTCCACGACAATGGTATTCAGAATGCCAGACACGTTCTTTACATGCATCCCCAGTCAAGGGACGTTCTCATTTGTCTTTCGTTGGAGTCCTTTTTTGTTAACATTCTGTGGCTTGTGTTGTAGCTACGAAGTCACGCATCGATTTATTATGTTTTTTAACTTAATATCATTTTTAATCGCAATATCTCAAAAATATCCGTTGTCTTCCCTTCATAATCGAGGGTATTATTATGCACCATGACTTTCAACTTTTACTACTTCTTTTTAAATCTGTTAATTTGTTGCTTTTATAAAACTTTTCACACTTAACCCTCCTTGCACTACGATTTATTTTACAGCCCCGTTGGTTAGCATTTGTTCGTTGCTAATAAATTTCGACAGCAGTCAGAAATATTATATCTATTATATGGCAATCGTTACATCGATGTTTAAATATCAATGATAGATGAGAAGAATGTAATTTCGATTTCAAAGTTGCGAATAACGCGCGTACATATTTAGTAGATCATGTTAAAAATCTTCATGACGAGTCCGACACGATATTATATGGCAAAAGGTTAAAAGAACTGTTAAATGTTAAAGTTCATAAAATTGTTTTTCGGTGTCCTATTTGGTTTCATCATCCGAAATGTTCGCTGCGAGATATAAAAGTGATATATCTCCTTAAAGTCAGCTTTATAGATTTTAGGACAGCTATCGTCGAGTACCCGTATCCGCGAGGTAAACAAATTCGAATATTTGAGAAACTAGTGTCCGCTTTAAAGCGGAGAAAAATTTTGCTAGACAGAGTGTATCATAGTTATGTCAAATCAAAACATGACGCTACTGAATTTGATTTAGATTCCCGAATCATCCGAATCACGGAAAGGAACGTCAAATTTCGCTTAGAAACGCTGGAAACGACTGTTTTCGCTTGAAAACAAGCGCAGATTCTCACTTCTATTTTTCTTTGAATAAGGACGAATATTTAAACTAATAATTATAAAAAATTGGCCGATAGCAATAGGGTCGCTTTTTAATCATGGGACATATTAATCGTGAATCATCAACATAAAGACGAATATTAGAACATTACTTCAAGTTCCGCGTGAGGATTAATCAAAAAACCGAGTCACCACTAAGGCTGGTTTAGGTTTTTAAATCATCGAAATCGTTCGAAAAACGATAAATTTTCGTTAACCATTTGCCCTACGATGTCTTATTAGAGCTTCTTCGTCACAAATAAGTTCATACACGATAAAGGTAATTTATTTGTTTGTATGACAATTTTTACTTTGGTATTTAATTATTGATAATAAAGGAGTAGAATTTGATTTTTATTTCTGAACAATATCCACATTTAATGGACAATGTTCGAAATCTTCGCAATGTGTCTGACACGATATTATAGAGCAAGAGGTTGAAAATGGGGGTAGAACGTCTGTTATCGCTTGAAACTAACGACGACTCCGGGTTCTCGCTTGTATTTGGCTGAACAAGGATGAACATTTAATGTAGCAGTTGTAAAAAATTTGCAGATAGGATCGTTTTTAAATCGTGGTAAATGTTAATAGCGAATCGTCTTTTCACGAAGACGAACGTTGGTATGTTATTTCATGTTCGGCGTATTTATGGCTGGGTTTGGGTGTCGAATGGATGCCTGAGATTGGAAAAACTATATTTGTTCAACCGGCAGTACTCCTAGGCGGGAATTGGTTACTGGGTCACATGGAGCATGATTACGACGCAGTTTCTTGAATTGGGTATGTTGTATCTCTGCACGCAAGCTACAATTCTTCCTGCAAACATTTCGAATTATCAAAGTTTTAGGAATCTTAAATCGTGGAGAACGCAAATTAATCTTATCAAGATTCGCATGTTCTGTTGTTGCATTAAAGACAAAAAGGGTTTTGCATACATCCATGACTGTACATCAATTCGCCGTGGATTTTATGCATTTATGACAAATATGAATGGGACAAATACAAAACTGTAAAGACGTTGAAAGAATTATTTTCAACTTGTTAGGACCTATTAAACGACGAAATATATTTTCGTCTAATTTATGTTTCTTACAATTGACTCGGATAATTTTGCACGAAGATCCGCAGTCTGCGTATCAATACGAGCTTCACACGTATTATCGTAAACTCGACAGAGATTTGACACAGTTTTGTAGAACCTGTGTACTTTTTATAATATTTTCTGGACAATTGTAATTATTACAACGTATACAACGCAAATGATAGATGTGTATATAGTGTGTACATATACACTATACCAAATTATAAACATCAAAACAGTTAATTTGTCGAACGATATTACTACTTTTATTGGGCCAGTGTAAACATCCCAACACACTTAACAATAAATAATCTATTTGCAAGTGATATTCGATGTTGCTTCTGCTAACTTCATATTTGGTGAAAGTGTGAGATTCAACTGTTATTTTGAAAATAAGCGAACGAGATTCATTTCTTTTCAACGAGATTCAGAATGTTCGTCAAAATTGTACAAACAACACTTTGTGTACAGTAACAAAATGGTTTGCGAAACGACGGTTTAAGCATTTGCCGCTAGACTGCCGATCTTTGTGAAAATATCCATTTTTGCATTTCATTTTATGAAAACTAAAGCTAAAATGAAATTTCTTCCGTTAACCAAAAGATTTCTTGTGATGAAAATGAAATCAAAATAATTATTAAGTTCTATCAGTGTGCTTTTGACGTCTTGTACAGTAATTTCTCCCTAATTCGCGCTCAGATTGCGCACAGAAATGGACAATTTGAGAAGAGAAAATACGATTATTCGAGCCTTGCATCTTGTTTTTATAATTGTTGACAATCGATAACTATAAAAACGAACCGCAAGGATCGAAATAATCGTATCTCCTCTTCTCAAATTGTTCATTTTTGTGTGCAATCTGAGCTCGAATTAGGGAGAAATTTGTTTCATCAGATGACGATTAGACCTGCGGGTTTTATGTATTGATGACAAATATGAATACGTAAATTACAAAACTGTAGCAACATTAGAAGAATTCGACGCTTCCTACTCCGATACTTCAATTTATCAAATGTGAAAAAAAGGGAGAAGGGAGAAAAGAGAAAAGAGAAAAGAGAAAAGAGAAAAGAGAAAAGAAGAATCCAAGGATGTTGTTACATTATTTTCAACTTATTGCAATTGTTAAAAGAACGAAGATATTTTCAGCTAACTTATGTTCCTTACGATTAACTTAGACAATGTTTATTTTGCATGAAGATCCGTAGTCTAATGATACTGTGCTTGATTTATTGTAAAACAATCCCATAATTTAACTGAAAAAGTTGATGAGAAACTCAATGTCGACAGAGCAATCGTATCTCTAGGTTTTTTAAAAGATATCAACTATTGAAATCAAAAGTGCGAACATTTGTACTTACCTAATATATTATATACACGAATTATATGTAGATTGGTATCATTTAATATATTTTAAACAGTAACTAACGTGATTTCGCGCATGTAAGCGGTTTACATATTCGGTGTAAGCGGAAGTAACGACGATTCGAATTACGCGGGATTTTTGCGGCATTTCAGCCGACTTACACGCAAACGCAACAGATATTGATCAACGTTTGCGGACACACTGGGTCCATATTAAAGCACTGTACAATGTCAACAAGATCTACTGCATTTAATTAATGACAAAGTAGTGTTACTAACCTCTTTTTATAAATAAAAGTGACATTAATCGAA